GGTTAAGTCAATTTGTAGTAAATCAATATAAACATTAATTATCGATTTATAGATAGATAATATTATAAAACTATGCAGTTATCTCTTGAAAATATGTAAAACTTTATAGATAACGGTATGTAAATATATTCCTTGATAAATTATCTTATGAAATTTATGTTACGACAGCTGTGTAAAAAGTTACTCCGTAACAATCGTTTACTCAATTCTATCATGCGAGTATGCTGTATTTCCTAACTTAGCACTTACACTTAAAATAGCGAATTCAGTGTCATCGCAATGGGTTTGGACATTAATAATCTGTCAAGAAAGAGTAATATTGAGGAAAGAAATAGATATTATACCCTTGTAACAATTATCAGCTTGAGATTAAATAAATGCTCAATTCTATCCAATTTATTACTACAACGGTTAAATTTAGGGCCAGGTACCGTTTACGGATGTTAAAGAATATCAAAATGGTAGATTGATATCGATAATGTTATCTTTAGAGATTTTGGCGACAAGATTAAAGTGGCATACGCTTACATGATGTGAGCAGATTAGAGACATCAGAACGAAGATAGTTTTATCCAAGTGGAATTCGTTATCACAGAAACCGTTGGTATCGAGAAAAACAACTACGACCTAAATAGGAATGGAAGAATATGAATAAGGCTAATGATATTATTTCTATATCCACTGGATATAGGTATTTCTAAGCAGACACTATAGCTAGTATACTGCAATTTAAATTTTATAGCAAGATAGAATGTAATTAAATTATAATGAGTATTAAAATACCAGCGCAGTATTGAAGTATAGCATAAGTAGTTCGTCACCTTATCATCATCATTTTTTTTACATAGTAAGGGATGCTTATAAGCATAGATGCCTTTGGCATTCATAGCAGGTTGGAAGTTCATAAAGTGGGAAGCCTGCGATATTTGCAATTTATCGGCTGTTAACCATTCATTTTCACCAGCGATAAGTTTCCACGCTCGAGATGCAAGACCAGCTTCTTGAGCGTTAACAATCTACAATCCAAATAATGAATGCTTGTTAAAATACAATAACATGTATCTTATGATTAATTGTGTCATTGCTGACTGATCTCACGGTAACTGCCAAAGCGCTACTTGATGAAAAAATTGAATGTTATAAGTAGAATAACTATTTTACTAGCTATCTATTGACTTCACCTTTTCTTGTACAAAGAGCTTGATGATGTCCATAAGTAAGGATTTGCCAGATCGA